AACATGCTGGCAATCTGGAATCATGCTGTAAACATGCCATTGACATGACCTTTCTTATTACATCAAGACAAGCCACAGTTGCTCAACATGAAGTCAATAGGACGATTAGTCATTATGTCAGAACAACACATTAACATTCTGCTTCTGAAGCTGCCCTTCTCATAATGACCAATCTAGCAGAAGTCAATTAAAATATTTATCTCAATAGGAGTAACAGGGCTATTCATATTGCAAGATATCACTCATTTTAAAGATGAAAGAACAAAGCATGGAAGATAGTAATTACTACAGATGTATGCAGCAATCTAGTTATTTTTGCTAACAAAGCAAAAAGTGCCAACACATTACCAAAGAAATATATTCTCTCCAGTGTCTTTCAGTTAACATTTCTAATGAACTGCAGATGCTTATGAATAATTCCAAAAATCTGCTCAACATGTACCCAACTTCTCTCTTTTGTATTATTATAAAATGCTTACACAATTATCCAAAAATTTATTAATGAACAATCATAAAGATATATCCTCACCCTAAGATGAATACTCCAGGAAACTTTATAATATGAACATTATTAGAACTATATTGATATTCATATATTTTAGCATATAAAGAGTTGTATAGTATGATTTCATTATCAAAATCATGCCATTTACAAATTCATATTTTATGACTAAAATAGCTGCTGCTGAATGTAATCAATCTAAATATAAAAAAGACAGAGATAGGAAAGGTATAAATGTTGACTTACAAGAATTAGACAAAATCCTGATGGGCCAAGAAAAAGGCATGATTTCGAAAACCTATAAATTGTTGATGAGAATAGAGATAGGTGACGAGATAATCAAAGATACAATGATTGCCTGGGGGAAAAATTTTGGTTATTCAATCCATTTAGAAAAATGGCAAGAGATCTGGTGGGGGAACATAAAATTAGTAGTTTCGATGGCATACAAAGAAAACATCTACAAGATGATATATAGGTGGCATCTCCCACCCAATAGACTAGCTAAAATGTTCACTGGACAGTCCACCGAATGCTGGAAGTGTGGGTTTGAGCGTGGCACCTACTACCATCAGTGGTGGACGTGCCCGAAAGCAGTAAAATTCTGGGGGGAAATAAAAAAATGGCTTAATGAGATTTTAAATCAAAGGATTGAATGGCGACCAGAGACATGCCTGCTCGGCTCCAAACCGGAAAATATTAAAAAAGACTTATGGTACCTTGCATTACACATTATCACAGCGGCGAGATTGACGTAGGCTCAACTTTGGAAAAACAAAAATATCCCATCAGAGGAGGCAATTATAAAGAAGATTTTAGAATGTGCTGAAGCAGATAAATTGACTAAAAAACTAAAAGATAGAGACCAAACACAAACATGTTTATTCTGGGAAAAATTATATATTTGGCTAGAGAAGAGAAAATTATAACCCAAACTAGATGAGGAATTGTATCTATTGAGAAACTTATACTATACAAGTAAAGTGAGGTTGGATAGACCTAATTGATCTACAAAGGTATACAAGTTGTTCTCTCTCCCCCGGAATATAATATAGCTATATTGTACCGAATACTAGGTTATTAAGGTACTACTTATAGGTATGCTTGTTATTTGTTGTGTTGTTCTGTATGTTATTTATATGGTGTGTTGTCTTTCTTTTTTAATGAAAAATGTAAATAAAGATTATTTTTTTTTAAAAAAAGAATATATATTCTATTACTGGGAGGATATTCCTTGGATTTCTGAATATTTTTTACAATAGAAAATAGACCTTTAAAACATAAATACAGTTTTGCTTATTATGAATGTTTACTTTCTCTTTTTAAAAAATTGAAAGCACACAATAAACAAATCTTGCATCATGTAATATAAAATAAAACCTGAATATTTAGGGAGAGGAAATACATAATATTGATTATAACATTATTTACAATATTAGCAAGATGCAGAGGATATAAATTTAATAATAAACAAAGAAACAAATAATAAAATAAATAAATAACATTATTTAATATTTTTTCATTTTTTTCTCAAAGCACAAAGTCCTTCTAGACAGAGTTATATGTTTTAATAAGGTTAAGATTTGTGCAGAAATGCATAACAGAAATCTGTGATCCCTAAACTAGCCTTTTCCAAAGTTTCACTGAACTGACAGGTTTATTTTGGAATTAGCTTGTCACCTTTATCCTATTTTTAATCACTAAAATTTTTCCAAAATGGGATTATTTTAACTTGAAAGTTAAGATTAATCAGTGCAGTTGCCATTGTTATTACTGTACAAAATTAGCAACGATTAGTCAGAAAACAGAAACCATCTGGGACAAAAGAACAGAAAGTGGGCTTTTGGGAAGTTGAATTTAGTGATCAGGAAGCAGTAACAACCATAGACCTCTAAAACCTCTATGCCAGAGTCTGCCAAAGAACTTGCATTCTTGTTGCTGAAGGCGCTACCAATAACGTGTACATTAGGCATGAAGCAATGGAGAAAGACATCCAGGCTTCAGCAATCCAAATAGGACCAGTGAAACTGAGGAATTGAGTCAGCAGATAATCATTGTCAAAATGGCATTTTCCCCAGGACCTGTCCAAGGTCCTGAAGGGTCCAGTTTTTGTTACTCCTTTCTGATCTATGCTTTTCCCCCTCATTTGGCACTCTACTCTGATGAACCATCTATTCTCCTTCTTTCAGCATCCACCTTGGGCTCACCTATATCCAAACTAACAGACAATATTGGGGCAGCTGACTATTTACACAAGTGTTGAGCACCTCTGCATAGAATAAAGTACAGTAGCTATCAATTTTATAAAAGCATGGACAATTGTTTCTGTCTCTTTACTTTAGAAAATGATATAATAGCTGTTTTTTTCAAATGAATATAGTGGTTGGCAGCAGCAATTAAGAATACATCCCAATACTCTAAGCTTTTTCAAGACTCAAAAGACTCTCTAAGATGCAGTTCTAATAGATTACCAGTGGGCATTCTTCTAACAATCCCAACAGTCATAATTTATAACTTTCAAACCTTTTGAAGCCTATTACACCCAACAGATACATGTTTCGGAGAGAACATCTGCTGTTGGATTAAGATAGGAACACAGAGCTTAGACAGACAGAACTGTATTTTGCTTACTGACCAATAAAAATGCAATCAATGAAATGAACAATTTAAAACCATTCCCTAAGAACAAGAACTATTAGCAATCATTTGTGGGCAAAGCTTCACATAATGTAGAAAAAAGGGGCTAGTTTAAGAGAAATAAATTTTTCTTAATTATTTAACAGATAATGCAGATAAAAGCTATCAGGGTGCCCTGGAAGTTTAAGTAAAAGAGGGATAATCAACTGGTGGTGAGTGTCCCTGCAGATTTGGCAATACAGAAGAACGTGGATTGGGGTTTCTGTGGCAAAGAGATCAGTGTCTACATGATATTAATAATAGCAAAGGTTTTAGATAACCTCAACTAATGTAGGTATTATATTGCAAACTTCTTGCAATCTACAAGTCATTTTCCAAAGATTTTAATATTTCAAATATTTAAATTGAATAAAACCCTCAACAAGAAAATTTCTTCATTTGACAGAATAGGACACTGCATAAGTAGATGGGAAATTATGGGATGCAAAATAGGTAAAGTAGTCTCCTGGGGAACTCTCTCCTGAACCAACAGGTAAGGAAATGAAAATAAAAACACGGGCAGCAATTCTTGATGTTGTGTACCATCTGTAATGCAGAGGCATACAACCACAAAGTTGTATTTGGGTATCTATCTTAGCCAAGTCTCAGAACTGGAAAAATGCATTCAGAATATATATGCTAGAGTAGACATATAAACACACACACACACACACAAACATACTGCATGCAACATCAGCACTCTGTGATAACAGAGAAATGTTTCTGTGAAAGTTTGGAAATATGAAGAAAAATATTTTTTAAGCGTACTATTATGTTTAAAATACCAAGTATCTAATTCATTCCCACAAATTTGTGCTTAATTAACTTGAATTCACAATGCATTTAAAAAATTCAATTAATTCAATTTAGGTACTAAAATAGACAAAAGTTCTATGTTGATCTCTAATTAATATAATTAATATAAAGGTACTAATAGCTCATTTTCTGTAGATTAATTCAATATATGCTGCATCCAAAGAGGAAAACAGCTCATTAAATCATCCAACTGTAAAAACATTTCACCGAATTATCAAATATCAGTTCCTTGAATTAATGATGCAAACTTCCGTCATCATTTCATGTAACATTCCTCCCTCCCTCCCCTCTCTCTCCTTCTCTCTCCCTTTCTCTCCTTCTCTCTCCCTCTCTTTTCAATGGCTTTATACTACAGTGGCCTTTTGCAAAATTCTTATTTGAGCCCAGCTTGAACTTAAACTGAAATCTCTCCTTCAGTCTGAATATTTTATATATAATAGTCATATTTCCTTAACCATCAGAAAGTTTAGCTGGACATATCTGTACTCCTAATATTCTCACAATGGTGCAGGTTTCTCCCATCAGCTTCCTGGAGGATGAAAACATGTGTACAAAAGTATGGCACACGCAGAGGAATCAGCCTGGCAGAAAGCAATTGTGAGGAAAAGATGAGCTTGTACACATTTGTACACATGTTTTCATCCTCCAGGAAGCTGATGGGAGAAACCTGCACCATTGTGAGAATATTAGGAGTACAGATATGTCCAGCTAAACTTTCTGATGGTTAAGGAAATATGACTATTATATATAAAATATTCAGACTGAAGGAGAGATTTCAGTTTAAGTTCAAGCTGGGCTCAAATAAGAATGTGTGCAAATCAGCTCAAGGAGAGTAAACTGCCAGCATTATGGCCTAGAGGAGGTTTCACAGGGTTAATTCCAACTATCAACTTAAGCCTTTCTCTCCACCTGTCAGGAGACAGCCTACAGAAAGTTGAAGAGAGAGAGAGGCTGAGGGAAGGGTGGATGTTGCTGTGAGAGAGGAAGAGAGAAACAAGACGCTTACTTTTATAGCTGGTAGCCCAAGGCTGATAGCCGTAATAGCCTGTAATCCGCAGGATCCTTTCCTCGATGGATGTGAGTCCTACGGAAGCGCTGGTGAGGTCTTCAACCGACCTCCATTTCATGTCCTCTTTGATCGCCTCATCCACCACCAGATATTTGAGCTGCCGGAGTTGGGGGCTGATGTCTGACAGCCTCCTGGGGCTGACATCAGGCGACCTCCTCATGCCACTAGAAAGGAAAGAGCAGCAGCAGCAGTGGGTTGAAGAAAAGAAACGGAACAGCCAAAGCAGACCGGGAAGCAATATTCTTGGGAATATTCGTATCAGGAGGGGGGGGGGATAAATAAAAATAAATAAAGGGTCCGCCAAAGATAGGCAGCTGGATTGGGGAAACCGAGGACGGCCACTCGACACCCCAAAGCGATGCTCTCTTAGCACAGCTTTTCTCATCAGGTGCTCTGCAGGCATGCTGGACAACAACACCACCATATCATCCCCAGAAGAAGCTGTAATCCGACCCTCCTGTCTCAGCGGATGGTTCAAGAGACGCGGCAGCCCCTCCGGGACACACACACACACGTCCTTCAGCGGTGCCCCCTTGGACGAGCCCGCCAGAAGAGCCCCGGGATACCTCAGCGCATCCCGAAGGGTTCGCCTGGAGCTTTCCCGGTTAGCGCGGCAAAGGGGCGGGGGGACGGGGGGGGGGCGCTAACCGGGAAAGCTCCAGGCGAACTTGCAAGCCCTCCCGGCACACCATTCCCTCCCTCCGCCTCCCCGTCGTTCTTGGCGGTCAGAAAGCGAGGACCGGGAGAAGGAGAGCAACTTTGCTCCCACCGGCCCGCCTCGCGCTTCTCCCAGGGCTTGAGGCGTCCCGACCCCGCCTGGGCTCCCTGGCTGAGGCAGCGGACAAGGGAGATGAGTGAGCGCCCGAAGCGGAGCGCGGGGCGGGGGGGGGGGAATCTTTCTTTCCCGCTTCGCCGCGCCGCCACCCCCGCCCTCCTCCCGCCGTCGCCGCCGGCACTCACATCGCCATGCTCTTGCCCCTGGCCGTGGCGCTGGGAAACTCGCGGATCCCCATGGGGAAGAGCAGAGGGGGAGTGGGAGCTCCCAGACTTCTCGGAAGGGGCAGCCGATCCGGGCTGGCCGACTCGACGCGGACCGAGAAAGAAAAGCTGCGAGAGAGGCGCGGCGTGAAGTGACCGGGAAGAGGGACGTCGCTTGTGCTGGCCACGGCGGCGGCAAAGGAGTTGCAAAGCGCCCGGCCGAAAAAAAAAAAAGAAAAGAAAAAAAGAAAAAAAGAAAAAAAAGAAAAAAAAAAAGCGGGGGGCAAAACGGCCAGAGACTGTCTGCCTCCACGCTGGGGTCTCCCGGTGCACCACACGGGCGAGGCGAGGCGTTGGTCCCTGGCTGCAACCTGCTATTTCTGCTGCTGCTGCTTCTGTTGCTGCGCGTAAGAGGAAACGGAGAGAAGGTGGAGGAAAGAAAACGCCCGCCGACCTCCTCGCAGGCAACTCCGCTCGCTTGCTCGCCTGTCCGCTCTCTCTCTCTCTCTCTCTCTCTCTCTCTTGCGCTCGGTCGTTTTCTCTCTCGCCACAGGGGGAGCCCGCTTTTCCCCTCCTCCGCCTTCCTCCTCTTCGTGAAATGAGCGCGGCGGCCGACAGGGGGAGCCCGGGAACGTTTGTGCAGAAAGGCAAGGGAGAAGAAGGCGAAAAGAGCCTTTTTTTGGGGGGGGCAGGAACCTTTCAGGAGTTTTGCAGGGTTGGATCTCGCGTCTTCTCCCCCTCCACTCCACCCCCGCCCCCGCTCGTAAAGTAGAAAATGATGTATTTAGTTACTGATTCCTAGAAGTCTTTCTGGCCGTGTTTACCCGAGGCAAGCAAAAACTTGTCCCGCTGACCGGTGGGGGTGAAGTCATGATGTGACCTATTGGATCGCTGGATACGGTCCCCCTCCATAGTGTAGATCGGTCGTCCCCGGCGCGAAAAAGGACTGCAAGCTTTGGCGCAGGAGTGGGCAGCGTGGAGCACAGGGGCCAGCCATCTTGCAGCCTCTTCTAACCCCCTTTTCTGACATCGCCCGGAGCGCCGTCTGATTGTAGCGCTGGACCACAACTCTCTCCCGATTTTAGGTGTAAGGTGGAGACGCGCTCCACGTTGTTTTGGAAAGAGTAAAGAAGAAGAAGGAAACTGAGTGAAAGCAACAACAACCGGAAAAAAAAAAAAAAGAATATCCTGGCTGTGCCCATAGGTATGACACAGCTCATCACTTCTCTCCATCCAATGCAGTCCAGAGCCGTTCACTGAAGGTGCTTTGCAGCCCAAAGCCTTTGCCAGATAGAAAGCCCAAAGTTATGGTCTTTGCTATCAAGCACAAAGGCAATGGAGCAGCCCAGAACTGCTTCCTTTACCTGCCTGTTTTATGAAAATCCAAATGGAAGGGGGGGGGAGCTCCTTTTTTCCCCCTGACCTTGGGATCTTTCTATTTTTCATTCTCCTACCTGACACGCGAAGAAGGCAAAGCCAGAGGCAGCTGAGCCAAACCAAAGGCAAAAGGCGGCAGTTGCAGATACGCCATAAGGGCAGCAAGTTTGCCGTATAGGACGTAACCTTGCTAGATTTTATGACATGCAAGCTGGCAAGATTGAACTGAAGAGGAGAGTTATTTATTTCAGGTCTTAGTCATTGCAATGGGACTTGGGCAGGAGAACATCCCGAGAGAGTCTACCGGTATTCACTGTGGAATGATGGTGAGGGTGATGATCGCGCATTTTGAATTTGGCACCCAAATCCAGTCAAATGTACAGCATTGTGGCTTATTTTTGCACGCTCAAGTTAAAACGAAGCAATTCCGATACCCCTTTTTTTGAACCCTTGGGAACCCTGTCCATATATCTTGTCTGCAGAGGAACGTTTTTACGTGTCATCTAAAGGAAAGACCATTTGCTGCTCAGTAGGGAGGATCCCTGACTAGCATATGCCTAATATGTCAGACAATTGCTGCACTCCTATTTCTAACCATTTTAAGGTTTGGCTTGAGAATAATGCAAATAAAGCAACTGCTCTGCAAAGGAGGAGCCAAGGTAATCCAACCACCATCATTTTAACATGGCTAGTCTCATATGCATTCTGTTTGCATATAAACATGGAGCCTTTGGAGTCCACGTAATGATTTACATCCCTTGCTGCTTGGAAATCAGCAAAAGCAGAAAGACGCTACTCTGGTTGAGGCAATAAAGTTCATATAACAACATATTGAGATGCTATTCATGGAAGGACATCTTAAAAGTGAGAATGACCCTAGAGCGTCATTGTGCTCTGCCTTTCTCTCTAATAACCAGCTATGCATTAAGTACAGCATCTTCTGCAGTTCTCTTTCAGCAGAAGCTTCTGAATGGACGGCGGTCCTGAGTTTAAGAGAGGTTTGTACCCTCCTCCTGATTCTTGGGATGTCAGAATAAATGACAGCATTGTGATGAGGACAAAAGCAGCATGAAATAAGGACTTAAAGTTTATTGAAAGCTCGGAAAATGCAGCTGCCTTTTTAATGTTCTCTGTCGTATTCTGCTTATAAAAACAAGAACATGTACACTCCGTTAATTTGAAATCTTTATTAAGTTGCATTTATTTGCATTCAGATATCCCATTAATAAAACTCCTTTATTTAATAAGGGTCAGAATCCATCCAGTCCTAACCTGGAAGCTGGGGTGTCAGAAAAGGCAAGACAATATTCATACACGTATCACATCTCAGGCCCAAACTGCCTTGTGTATGAAATTAAAGTTAGCATAATGGATCCTGAATTGTTCTCTTGAGATGAATACATTATCTCTCTTCAAATCTCGCAGGCAGCTTAAAACATACCATTCCAATGTTGCCTCATAGTCCAAAATCAGTTTATTGTTTTAAAGCGAGGGCAAGCTAAAGGGCCTGAGTACAGCACAACAGAAATACAAATGAACAAGAAGACTAAAAGAGTTGTAACTCTCAGCTATTCTAAGAGCCCTGATGCATGATTCCAGTTAGAGGTAGGGAATCTCTAAAGCAGGGGTCTCCAGCCTTGGTCACTTTAAGACTTGTGGACTTCAACTCCCAGAATTTCTCAGCCAGCACATGCTGGCTGAGGAATTCTGAGAGTTGAAGTCCACAAGTCGTAAAGTTGCCAAGGTTGGAGGCCCTGCTCTAAAGTACAGTTCCAGGCCAGCCTGACTTATTTGGTTTACAGGGCTTCAGAATGAATCTGCCTCTTACTAGCAAAAACCTTATGTTCCGTGAGAAAGGAGCATAATCCCTTCTGTTTAGCTCTCTTCTCAAATCTAAGGCTTTCCTGGCAAACAACTTATTTTCAAAGTCTAGTTAACATATCTACAGTACTAATTTCCCCATTATTTTAATCCAACTGTATTCAGAATGAAGTATCAGCTGAATTACTAATTTCATGGACAGTGGTTTTAAAGCAATAAATGTAATGGATTACCTCTATATTTTGCTGGCAACAACACTTTTGTGTCACCTAATTTATAATATCTGAGAATACCGGGCTAATGGAATAGACTAGTAATTTATAATTTAACTGCCCATGGATATTGTTTAAAGTGCTGGTTTTCAAACAGGAAGGGAAGAAAACAAGCAGCCACAATACATAGACCTTCTCAATAATTTATTAGAAGAAACTCTGCTTATCTTCGCTTACCACAGCCTTCTCTAGCCTGTGCCCTCCAGGTTTGTTAGACATCAACTCCCATCAACTCCAGCCATCATGATGAATGATGAGGTTTATGAGACTTGAAATCCGAGACAGGATTAGAATGGAGAAGTTTATGCTAGCACCTGGGCAACATTGATTTGTTCTTTTGTACTTTTCTCTGGCCTTATTTAATAGGCTCCTCTTTAGGGCCCCTGTTTTCATCTATAGAGCATGCATTTTCAGATGATTGGAGTAAGCTGGAATTGAGATCCCTAAGATCTCAAAGGGAGAACTTCAATATTTGTGAACCTTTAAAATAGTCCTTTTCAGTCTGGAGCTCTACTACTTGAATACTCTTGGAAGCTGCAGTTTCACAAATCAAGAAGCTTCCAGGTTAGAGAAATTTGGTTCAGGAGAAGGATATTCCTAAGCAGATAGATACCTGGAAAAGTTACATTGATATTCATCCACTGTTTTCCCCATTATTTCTTTCATGAGTTATTGGGAGGGAATTAACTCTACAGTAGTGAAGTAAATGTTACCTTTTGGTCATGTCTGATGAGGGTCCCAGAGATTTTTATATTCTATAACCATGTGGGACTATGAGAAATCTGCCTTATATTGAGTTGAACTATTCAGAATAATAGAATAAGAGACTCTGGAGAACTTGCAGTCCAACCCGCTGCACAGGCGGGAAATCCGATAACATTTCAGACTAGAGGCTGTCCAGTCTCTTCTTAAAAACCCCTAGTGTAGGAGGAACCACAACTTCTGAAAGCAAGTTGTTCCACTGATTAATTGTTCCAACTATCAGGAAATTTGTCCTTAGTTCTTCTTTCCTTTGTTAGTTTCCATCCATTGCTTCTTGTCTTGCCTTCAGGTGTTTTGCAGAATAGGTTGACTCCCTCTTCTTAGATATAGGAACACTGCTATCATGTCACTCCTATTCATCTAACCTAGAACTGTGTAACTGGCAATGGCTCTCTTATGTTTAAAGTAGAGGTTTCTGGAGCCCTCTGAAACTTCAACCTACATCTTATTGCCTGTTGTTACTCTGACTCATAAAAGTCATTATTATTAAAATTTCACCAGTTGTTAGAGCTTTGCTTTGGTTGGAAAAGCTTCTCTTTTTGAGCAGAATGTTTACTACCAAGTGTGATATAGAGTTTGGCTTGCTGTATTATTCCCCCTGCTGTTAAGATATATTTTTTTCCATGGGAAATATTTGAGTTGTAAAGTGGATTAAAATATTCAGATATATAAATGCACATAAAAAGCACTTCTGCTCTTTCTGCTCACCAGTCCTTTCCAATAAATTTGTAGCTAACCTGTTCTCTTTATTTCTGCCTTAAAAGGCTAAAAACAACACGATGGTAGCTGAACCTCTGAAAGATGGGAAAAAATAAAACAGCTGAGAAAATCCCTGAGGCAGGAATAGGCCACTTACTAGCTCTGTGAAATTATCACATTTCAAAAATGAAGCCATTCTTTGTTGGGTTTCCAAATACACCCCAGTTAAACCATGAATAAATTAATGCAGGTCCCAGAAAACTGACATCATAAGAATGAACAGGTCCAAAGCTGATAATCAGCTCTTAGAATCTTAGAGTTGAAAAATATCATTTAGATCCTGGAGCTCAACCCTTTCCTCACTACTAGGAATCCAGATTAAATCATCCCAAACAGATTGATGCCTTCCCAAAAATATCCAACGAAGGGGAGTCACCAGCCCCCTGGGCTGTTAAAATTGCAAACTCCATGCAGAGAAGATAGCACATTTAACAACATTACCTCAGAAAATTTTGCACTTATTGTATCACCATGGATACCTGCTGGGGGGTAACATATAAAGAGGACCAATTATGTTTAAATT